GGTTTAGGGTTTAGGGTTTGTAAGTGCTAGTGTTGCTTTTTTTATTATTATAATTTTTCTTAAGATTATTATTGTGATGATTATTGCTATTTCGACTATCACGATTATTGCGAGTATTACTATTAGTATTTTTAGTATGATTGCCATTATCATTATTATTATGATTGTTCTTATGACTACGATTATTGTTATTGTTGTTACTATTCTTACGAATACTAGTATTGTTAGTATCATTACTATTACTACTATCGTTTTTACCGATATTACGATTATTCATAATATTCTATTCCGAATATCAACATGGTTGTTGAGACGGTTGCTCTTTTTTTGGTGCCTTGTTCTTACGGTTCTTGCTTCTAATCTCCCCCCAAAGCTTGGAGATGCCTAAACCCTAAACCCTAAACCCCTAAACCCCTAAACCCCTAAACCCTAAACCCTAAACCCTAAACCCCTAAAACCTACACCCTAGACCCTAAACCAACAAGGATAGACGCCAAGGCATAGACTCGAGGGCCTCACAGAGGTCTCGAGATGGGTTGTGTTGGGTTCATGGGTTGAGGAGACGCAAGGGTTTCGGGTTTAGGGTTTAGGGTTTAGGGAAAAGGGCTTCGGGTTTAGGGTTTAGGGTTTTGGAATAGGGTTTAGGAATAGGGTTTGGGGTTTCAAGGGGAGACTGGCCCCTGAAACTATGGAAATGCCGTGTGCCCGAAGGTTAGGTCAGGTTCTTCTCTTTGTGTGCTTCTTCTTGTTCGGGCACCCGTAAGGTGGAGACCATGCGATACATGGTGGAGTCTGTGACGCTTGCTGTTGAGCCGCAGCGATTCGTGTTGTGTTTTTGTTGGTTTGAGGGGCCCACTCACCCTAAACCCTAAACCCTAAACCCTAAACCCCAAACCCTAAACCCTAAACCAGACTAGGTCTTGAGTTCTGCGGTTGCCCCAAAGCCTTGACACCGTCTAGAGGTTCTAGCAACTCTACAAGACCTACTAAATACCGTCAAAATCTCGACCAATCTACAACCCTACAAAGTCTTTTCAAAACGTAATGAACCCGAGAACCTTTTAAAATTTTTGTAAAGCCTGTTAAACCCTGTAACCCCCTGTCAAACCCTAATAAATCTTGTAACACCTTAGGAAACCCTCTCAAACCCCTGAATCCCTGCCGAACTCTTCACAAAAGCCCCTTTCGAACCCCAATACCACACCCCAGAAAACCCTAAAGCCTAAACCCTAAACCCCCCAAACAAAACCCTAACAAACTCCACAAAGGAACTACAGCCTGGGTGAATCCCTGCACACGAGCCGCGTGATCTATTTTACCAACGATCAGGCTTTGAAGGTGGCGCAGTATCATTAGCACAGTCATTGCTATTCTTACTACTATTAACTAGTGTTATTGTAATTCTTATCAGTAGTGTTGTTGTTCTTCTTACTACTAACTAGTGTTATTGGTATTCTTATTACTACTAACTAGTGTTATTGGTATTCTTGTTACTACTAACTAGTGGTCATTGTTATTCTTATTACTATTAACTAGTGGTTGTTGTTATTCTTGTTACTACTAACTAGTGTTATTGGTATTCTTATTACGACTAACTGGTGTTATTGGTATTCTTGTCAGTAGTGTTATTGTTATTCATGATTTGATTGCCAGTCGCAGTTGTCCTAAACCCTGAACCCTAAACCCCAAACCCTAAACCCTTGTCATTAAGTGGAGAGGCAGAGATTTCGGTCGAGGAAGGTCTTTAGCGTTCAGGGCCCCGTCAGGTTTGGAAGCGCGGTTAGGGGTTTAGGGTTTAGGGTTTAGGGTGTGGGAAGAAGCCCTGCAATATACCCTTCATGCCATTTTCTGGAGCCTTAGTAAATCCTAAGTCCTACCTTAACCCCAACTAACCTACCTTTCTA